TAGTCTCTGTGATTACCTGTGCCTGCTGAAGAGAGGAGAAGCGCTACCAGTTTATCAGCACACACACTCTCCCCTCCTGTGCATTCCACACATCAGCGAGCAGCTCCTGAAGCGTCTCGGCAGACGCCTCGCGCAACATCTCAGCACGCGCCTCAATGGTTTCCCGGCGGTTACCGTAGAAACAATCAGTGTGCAAATCCAGAGGACAAGTCTGGGAAAGGGCATGCAGTCGTTGATCACTGATCTGTTGGGGTGGTATGCCCTGACAATAAAGTGCAACCCTAAACGTGTGAAGCGCACAGCATTTATTTCTTAATTATTGTGTACCTGGTAGGGGTTTCGGAAGACATCAGGAACCCCGTCGATAAAGATGATGTCCCACATGAGGAGTCCAAAAAGGGTGGAAAATGTAGAGCCTTCTCCATGAATACCTTAAAAGAGGATTTCAGAAACCTAAATTGAAAGTATTAAGGCACAGCAGAATCGATGTGCTTGTGTATGATGTTATGAAGAAATTTAGAAAATGATTTTGAAACTATTTACTTTATGGAACACAAAATAGTGAATCTTGAATGATGTACTGGTTGTTTATTTCCATGCAATCACAATGAATGAGGACTGGAGCTTTCAAGCTTTTCAGGAATAAATACACCATAAAAGTGATCTACAGGATCCATCTGCTATATAAGTTTCTGAAGTCATAAAATAGCTTTGGAATAGAGAAACAGACTGAAATTTAAATAGTTTTCACCGAAAATCTGTACTTGACTTAAGTAGCAATGTCAGATTTGTGAAAAAAAATTGTTCGCATGATTCAGATCTTTTCAATGAATCAACTGATCTGGTTCACAAACCAGCCTGAACGATTCAGATATCTGTACATCTCTTATGAATGCACTAAGGAGAGCTAGGCTAGTAGGGAATATGTCAAGCTTTTTATCTTGAAATGAGCTACATTCTTCAAAATTTCTTATCTTGTGTTCCACAGAAAAAACATTGTCATTATAAGGTTTGATTAATTGAGTGAACGATTCCTCAATTTCCTCAAAAACGATTCCTTCATATAATGGTGCACAAACAATGTGATGCCAGACCTTGATCAAAACCAAGTGTTCTGTAGTGTTCCAGAGCCAGTTCCTCAACAGAACACATGACCATAGTCCCTCGTCCCTCTGTGGAGCCTTCATCCTCATTGGCCGCTCTGAGGAACACTGATTTCCACATACCACCCTCATGAGGAAAGAGCTGGCCTCGAAGTGTCACCTGTTAAAACACTCCTGTTAAAATCTTGTTAACTGTGTTGTTATTGTTAACTAAAACTATAAAAAATTTAAATGCAATAAAAAAAGAATTTTTTAATCAGATGAAAATCTTAAACTTGAAAAACTTAAAATTTACAAATTAGAATTTAAAATGTTTAAGTTGAAGTACAAAAAAAGAAAAAAAGAAAATTATCTAAAAAAAAAAAAACAATAATGTAAAAATCACATTATTATTAAAAC